GGGGGGGGGGGGGGTATTTTTGAATTTTCACCTTTTTGGACATAGTTGTTTTATTTTCAACAGCTCTTATTTTACTGAAATTGTAAGGAAAAGGTAAGTTAAAACATGGGTCTCTTTTCAAGTGAAATTTTTGGATGCATCATTAAATCTGATTATTATTTCATATTTTACAGAGGCATGGCAAGGGACACGATATTGGACTGGGAAGATGCCTTACCAGAGAGAGATATGGACTTGGGAGATCTGAATTCAAGGTATAGTGAACATCTCAGTAAACCCTTTCACCACTGTAGACCATAATGGATTCATCCAGATCAATACATGGTAGAGTCTACTCAAGTTACATATGGATGGAAGGGTTAGTCAAACACAACCAGGAGCAGTGTTTCTGGTCATGATCAGAGTACACAGGGATCTAGCTTACACAGGTTTATTTTACAACATGTCACTGATTTGAAGGTCTAGTGTATACAGGGTTTCAGATTATACAGGGTTAATGTAGATTTAGAACTTGACCTGTTTGATGGTACATGAGGCCCTTATAAGTTTGATGGTACATGAGGCCCCTGTTTGATGGTACATGAGGCCCTTATAAGTTTGATGGTACATGAGGCCCTTATAAGTTTGATGGTAGATGAGGCCCCTGTTTAATGGTACATGAGGCCCTTATAAGTTTGATGTTACATGAGGCCCTTATAAGTTTGATGGTAGATGAGGCCCTTATAAGTTTGATGGTACATGAGGCCCTTATAAGTTTGGTGGTAGATGAGGCCCTTATAAGTTTGATGGTAGATAAGGCCCTTATAAGTTTGATCGTACATGAGGCCCTTATAAGTTTGATGGTAGATGAGGCCCTTATAAGTTTGGTGGTAGATGAGGCCCCTGTTTGATGGTACATGAGGCCCTTATAAGTTTGGTGGTAGATGAGGCCCTTATAAGTTTGATGTTACATGAGGCCCTTATAAGTTTGATGGTAGATGAGGCCCTTATAAGTTTGGTGGTAGATGAGGCCCTTATAAGTTTGATGGTACATGAGGCCCTTATAAGTTTGATGGTAGATGAGGCCCTTATAAGTTTGGTGGTAGATGAGGCCCTTATAAGTTTGATGGTACATGAGGCCCTTATAAGTTTGGTGGTAGATGAGGCCCTTATAAGTTTGATGTTACATGAGGCCCTTATAAGTTTGGTGGTAGATGAGGCCCTTATAAGTTTGGTGGTAGATGAGGCCCTTATAAGTTTGATGGTACATGAGGCCCTTATAAGTTTGGTGGTAGATGAGGCCCTTATAAGTTTGGTGGTAGATGAGGCCCTTATAAGTTTGATGGTACATGAGGCCCTTATAAGTTTGGTGGTAGATGAGGCCCTTATAAGTTTGGTGGTAGATGAGGCCCTTATAAGTTTGATGGTACATGAGGCCCTTATAAGTTTGGTGGTAGATGAGGCCCTTATAAGTTTGGTGGTAGATGAGGCCCTTATAAGTTTGATGGTACATGAGGCCCTTATAAGTTTGGTGGTAGATGAGGCCCTTATAAGTTTGGTGGTAGATGAGGCCCTTATAAGTTTGATGGTACATGAGGCCCTTATAAGTTTGATGGTAGATGAGGCCCTTATAAGTTTGGTGGTAGATGAGGCCCTTATAAGTTTGATGTTACATGAGGCCCTTATAAGTTTGATGGTAGATGAGGCCCTTATAAGTTTGGTGGTAGATGAGGCCCTTATAAGTTTGATGTTACATGAGGCCCTTATAAGTTTGATGGTAGATGAGGCCCTTATAAGTTTGGTGGTAGATGAGGCCCTTATAAGTTTGATGTTACATGAGGCCCTTATAAGTTTGGTGGTAGATGAGGCCCTTATAAGTTTGGTGGTAGATGAGGCCCTTATAAGTTTGATGGTACATGAGGCCCTTATAAGTTTGGTGGTAGATGAGGCCCTTATAAGTTTGGTGGTAGATGAGGCCCTTATAAGTTTGATGGTACATGAGGCCCTTATAAGTTTGGTGGTAGATGAGGCCCTTATAAGTTTGATGTTACATGAGGCCCTTATAAGTTTGGTGGTAGATGAGGCCCTTATAAGTTTGGTGGTAGATGAGGCCCTTATAAGTTTGATGGTACATGAGGCCCTTATAAGTTTGGTGGTAGATGAGGCCCTTATAAGTTTGGTGGTAGATGAGGCCCTTATAAGTTTGATGTTACATGAGGCCCTTATAAGTTTGGTGGTAGATGAGGCCCTTATAAGTTTGGTGGTAGATGAGGCCCTTATAAGTTTGATGGTACATGAGGCCCTTATAAGTTTGGTGGTAGATGAGGCCCTTATAAGTTTGGTGGTAGATGAGGCCCTTATAAGTTTGATGTTACATGAGGCCCTTATAAGTTTGGTGGTAGATGAGGCCCTTATAAGTTTGGTGGTAGATGAGGCCCTTATAAGTTTGATGGTACATGAGGCCCTTATAAGTTTGGTGGTAGATGAGGCCCTTATAAGTTTGGTGGTAGATGAGGCCCTTATAAGTTTGATGGTACATGAGGCCCTTATAAGTTTGGTGATAGATGAGGCCCTTTTAAGTTTGGTGGTAGATGAGGCCCTTATAAGTTTGATGGTAGATGAGGCCCCTGTTTGATGGTACATGCGGCCCTTATAAGTTTTGTGATAGATGAGGCCCTCTTAAGTTTGGTGGTAGATGAGGCCCTGATAAGTTTGATGGTACATGCGGCCCTTATAAGTTTGGTGGTAGATGATGCCCTTATAAGTTTGATAGTACATGAGGCCCTTATGAGTTTGATGTTACATGAGGCCCTTTTAAGTTTGATGGTAGATGAGGCCCTTATAAGTTTGATGGTAGATGAGGCCCTTATAAGTTTGATGCAAAGCAAGTATCTGTTTGAGTGGTACTCATAGTTTTCCAATTCATGTACCCACAAAATGATGATTTGTTTGGAAACCCCGAAATTTGGGTCCCACGAAAATATCTGATTTCACAGTATTTAAATTGCAGTATATTATGTTTGAATTAAATATGACAGTGAGGTACAATTGAAACATTTTAGTCTATTTAGTAATATTTTACTAGAAGTATGAAACAGCTAAGTGGAATAAATTTGTGTATTGATAGATCAGTACCCAAAAAGTTGGTGTCATCTGAGTGATTTGTTTTAAGCCAGCCGCAAGGTAAAAAGTATTAGAAAGGAACCTTTAAATGCAAAATGATATTATTATTACATATGACAGACTTTCGTTATCATAGCACTATTAAAGATATTTTCATTAGAAAAGGGGGTAGAGTGAAAAACGCTAAATAAATGGAAATGTTAATTAATTAAGATGGTCTTTATTTCTCCAGTGGTCCTAATATCAAGTGTTTGCACCAAGGTAAAATTGGGCTCCAGTGCTTTGTTTCTAGAAAGAAAAATGATGGAAACATGTGTTGATTTGGAGAATAGTTCTCCAAGGGAATGAAACATCTAGACACTTAAACAAGAGTATTTGAAAATTACCCTAATCTTAAATCTGCTAAAGAAACAACATATGCACAGTGTATTACATGCTGTTGTGATTTTATGAATTCTAACAGTGAGTGAAAATGACCACAGGCATGACAACGCATTTACAAACTAAAACTTTCTTTGTGAAACATGGCTCAAACCTGGATAATTCTGTCATGAATGCTGAATGTTGATTTCCAGAGACTTAATTACTATTTTTGAATCTCGAAGTTTGGTAGCTGTGCTTCTTTTACTGAAAATAACCAAGTAGTCAGTTCTAAACGAACAAGTCTGATTCAATGCATGGTGCTTGACTATGCAGGTTGTCCAAGGTTACTGCTTTGTTTCTACTTGATATGTGATTTGTTTATAAATTATTTTGTTATGTGGGGCAGTCGCCATGGTACATGGCCATGAACTTGCCGCAGATCGGTGGTTTTTCTTTGGGGTATGCCGGCTTTCTTTCACCACCAAAACCTGGCACGTCCTTAAATGACAATAGCTGTTAAAAGTACGTAAAACACAAATAAATAAAATAAATTATGTTTTGTTTTTGTCCCTTTTTGTACAGGAAAGCAGATGTTAGCCTGTGCCTGGGGACATCCTTGCAGATTATTCCTAGTGGAAACTTACCGCTACTGACACGCAAAAAACATGGCAAACTTATTATCGTCAATCTGCAGCCTACCAAACATGATCGTCATGCAGACTTGCGAATAAATACTTATGTTGATGACGTCATGACACAATTATGTCAAATTCTTGGAGTGGAAATTCCAGAATATGAAGAACCTGTCATCAACCTAGGATCAATTCACACTGTTAAAGGAGAAAAGAAACTGAATGTTTTGATTAGAGATGAAGTGTCAAAGTCAGAAAATGTGAAAATAGAATTAAAAACCAAAAGTACAGAAAAGTGTTCCAAAAAAGACACGAAAATTCACATTAAATGCAATACTGGTAAAGACAGCCATGATCTAGGGAATTTAGACAACAAAAAGGATTTTGATTTAGAAATGAAATCAACAAGTATCACTGATTGGAATGATCAGAACAAACCTGAGGTTCTGTCCGGATCTCCAGATAACAAAGCTAATCTCGCTCTCTCAGTAGGTACATGTGCGAAGGATTCAGAATCTCTGTCTCACCTTCTCCCCAGCACAGATATTGTAGGCAGTAACACAAACTGTAAACAGGAGACAAATTCCCGATCAGAGGACGTTACAACAGACCAGCAACTCGTGACAGATCCCTCCAGGGATCTAGATGCCCCAACAAAAAAATGTAGGAAGCTCGATAGCAGATGATTAATTTTATCCTGAAAAAATATGTCAAAATATACGTATTTTTGTATCATGAACTCTGATCACTTTGCTTGTCATTTTCTTTTTTCAGTAAAAAAAAAATGTACTTTTATTAAAAGTGAAATAGATAACGAGGGTGAGAAAATGTTTGGATGTCATTTTCTTACTTCAGAAAAAAAATTGTACTTTTATTAATAGTGAAATAGATAACGAGGGTGAGAAAATGTTGGGGTGTCATTTTCTTATTTTCAGAAAAAAATATGTACTGTTATTAATAGTGAAATAGATACGAGGGTGAGAAAATGTTGGGGTGTCATTTTCTTATTATCAGAAAAAAATATGTACTTTTATTAATAGTGAAATAGATAACGAGGGTGAGAAAATGTTGGGAAAGAATTAATAAAGACTGCCTCAAATCTCGAGTTACGGAGTATTTATTTCATCATTTCATCATGATATTGTCGTCAATACTCAAGGATACATGTAGCATCTAAACTCAAAGGTCATGGTGCAGCGTCCGTCCGTCGTCGTCAACTTTTTATTTAAACAACTTCTTCTGAAGAACGGACAGGGCTAGAGTCATGATATTCGGCTGAAAGCTTTGTTAGTAGGATACCAACAAAGTTTGAGAACGAAAATGACCTTGACCTACTTTCAAGGTCACAGGGGTCAAATATGTCAAACACTTCAAACGACTTCTTCTGAAGAACTGAAAGGTATAATTATAATCGTCAATTTGGCTGGTAGCTTCCTGGGAAAGAGCACAATAAAGTTTGCGAATGAAAATGACGTTGACTTACTTTCAAGGTCACAGGAGTCAGATATGTCTAACGCTTCAAACGACGTCTACTGAAAAACTTAAGGTATATAATCTTAATATTTGGCTGATAGCTCCTTGGGATAGACCCTGGCAAATTTTGCGTGTGAAAATAATTAATTTAAGGTTACAGCGGTCAAATATGTCAAAAACAACAAACGACTTCTTCTGAATAATCGAAAGGCATAGAATCATAATATTTGGCTGATGGCTTCTTGGGGTAGAGCTCACCAAAGTTTGCAAATGAAAATTACCTCAACTTACTATAAAGGTCACAGAGATCAACAACATTTTAAACGATTTGTTCTGTAGAACCAAAAGGAATGGATACATAAGATTTGGGACTGGGATAGAGTCAACAAAGTTCGAGAATGAAAATGACCTTGACCTACTTACATAAATATATCAAACACTTAAACAATTTCTGAAGAAGAATCAAAAAGCATAAAATCATATAATATTATTTGACTGGTAGTTTCAACTGACGGAGTCAATAAAGTTTGCGAGTGAAATATTTGTTGTACAGTATAATATTTAATGAAAATATTTTTCTACAACTGCTTAAATATTCTGGTGAGCGATACAGGCCCTCTGGGCCTCTTGTTTAATATGTAGTTCACAAACCAATAGAAAGCACATTTCTGCAACTTGTGTCAATACATTGAACACAGCTCTCTGATCTGTAGGGGTTCGTTTAAATGTATCCTTGATATTTTCAAATCGAGAAAATGTAAACATACATGTACATGCTTTTAAGAGATAAAGACAGACTGGGGAAAGGTGTCTGGAAGCCCCCGAAGCTCATGAAGGTAACACTTGTGTCTAACAGTATTATAATGTAATCTCTGGATTTTCGATCGTCGGGGAGACTGCTGACTTTACTGAATATGAAGGGATTCATTGTGACGGCTGTTAAGACCCAATGTGGTATTCGCCCCATACACTTCAGCAAAACAACATTATAACTAAATTTATTGATATTTCGCTTCATATTTTGCACCACTTTACAGTAATGAGGTTAAAATGTAACTCAATCAAAACGTGTTTTACTGTACCAAGCAAAGTGTTAACAATCGATGATGATAGACTGAATTTAAACTACAAAACATATGGTTTCGTGATCAACGCTCTTTTTATCGGGATTTATACTGAATACAATCTATATAAATGATGAAGAAAAACCAAAACGAGTTTTTTCTGGTCTAGCTTAGCTTTTACTCTCATGTTATTCATAGACTTTGCAGCCCATAAATAAGACATTCATTTTGATGTTTTATACATTCTTGATTCACATCATTTATAAATGATGCTACCCATTTTTTCAATCAATCCAGATTAGATAAACCCTATAATGTTTCTCCCTTTCAACCAATCCGATTCGTCGTTATTTTATTATAGAAAGTTTCTTTAATTTAGACAGAGTTGTCTATCTTACCTCGAGAATGCTACAAGTTGCAGAGTCAGGCGATTAGTTCGCGCTGGTCTTATCCTTGTTTTCTAGAAGTCGCCTTGTAAATCTTTCCTTTGTTCGCTTTTCCCCAAGATTTATCGTCTTTGAGTTTGAATCACAGTTTTGTTGACACTAAAGCTCTCTCTTGTTTTATTCCGTTCCATACTTGTCTTTAACATGTATGAAATGATTACTGAAATACAATCCTCATTTTCGCATCGACTCTTGAGATCCAAGTTAGCCGTTGCTGACTGTTCCATGAGATCCAGGCGTTTTATTATAAAAAACTTTTTTTCTTCTAATTAAGCTGGCAGCATGTGATCGAAAGAACGGTTAGACGACTTTAATACACTTGCAATTTTTATCTCACCCCACGAAGGAGCGGAAGCGAGACTAAGGTTTGCTTTTCTGGCGACGTCAACATTAAGATTTTGCGTTTAAGGTAGTTACACGGAAAACATAAGTCCTAGACCAACCGCACTTGGGCCATAGATGCATCTTAGGTAGTACACCCCAACTCATGCATCAAACGCTGTATGCGGCCTAACCTCCTTTGGCAGCATCTCCATCAACATTAAGTTTTTGCGTTTTAATTAAGTTAGTTTCTCTGACACTATAAGTTCTAGACCAACCAAACTTGATATGTGCATTGCTGGTCAAAGCGGGGCACAGGCGAGACATATCAATCCGAGTCTTAACAGGCGAGACATATCAATCCGAGTTTCAACAGGCGAGACATATCATTCTCTTACCCTGGACAGGGATATCCACCATTTTACCGGTGTGAGAATTTCTTATCTCACCCTAGGGTTGAGACAAGCTACACGTGCTCTTTGCAAGTTCTCAACAATTGTATGGCGTCATAGCAACAATACCATGACGTCACGGCAACAATACAATGACGTCATGTCGACAATTCAACCGCATCATATCAGTATTGTCTTGCATTGATGTAACGGCAATATTAGATAGATAAGAGGGTAAACAGGGTAAGAGAAGAATAATCATTCACCCCCTTGGGATCGAGACAGGGGATCTCAACCCTCGGGGTAAGATTCTTAAGCTGTCAAACACTCAGCAAGCCACGTGTTTGGCAACATAAGAATCTTACCCCTCGGGTTGAGATCCCCCTGTCTCACTCCAAAGGGGATGAAAGATTAATAGAATCTTTCACCCCCTTGGGGGTGAGACAGGGTTATCTTAACACGGTGTTTCAACAGGCATTACTGATAAATCAAACAAAAATGAAAAGTTTCACAGCTGGAACATCCATCAGCCTTTGGCTTAAATGATAATAAGTTGCAGCGAATCAGCTCACCCATACCCTGCTGTTTGTTTTTCAACACAAAAATAAATTATTTATACCAAGATCATTACTATCTGGACGAAGTTGACATGTATAAACTGTAAACATACTGCAATGTAACTTGTTTCGTTTGCTTAGAAAAGAGGAAATACTTATATGTAATGCTCATACAACTTCAAGCTGAAAGCTACTTTCAGAAAATCCTTTACTGTAGCCAACCTGTTTTGCTGAAACAAATGTGTATTGGTATTGTCTAAGCCAAAAGCAATATGGTGTTGCAGTATTCGAAACGGTATTGGAACTCTACGTGATTCAGACAGACGATCATTTGTTTGGATGTGTTGTTAGGCAACATTTCTTATAGCAGTCACAACGTACTGGGAAACTTCTTGGGAACAAAGTGTAGATTCGCATCCGTTTTATATATTTTGGCAGCAGTGGTGACCAATTATATGCTGTACTAGTTTAATTCATTTATGTACAAAGGTACTATAGTGTTTTAGTTTTTGTTATTTTTGTTTGTTAATACATGTAATACTGAAATCAGGGATTAGAGGAGACTTGACGTTTGAGGGGATATTGTTTTACACTCCAACCACAATCCACCTATTGGTATAGTAAAAGGGCGAACGACGCAGGGACGCGGGCACCACACGGTCTTACAGTGATAGTATGGATTACAGAGACACAAGGAGATATATCACAGACCGGCGTCCATCAGTAAGGTTTGCTGATACTCCCAGCCATACAGGCACTCGTGATGAAAATTGGAGTGAGGCAACGGAGACAAAGAAGAAGACATTGCACGAGGTGCCGGGAGACTTGCGATAGTCCGCGAGGTAAGGCAAAGATGTACCCATGAGAAAAGGAAATGTGTTAAACGAATTTAGCCATACCGTGCGAAGAAGTTAATAAAGTGACCAGTATGCTTCATTTGCTAAAGTGCTGTAGCTCCTGGCTTTTTACATGTTTAAAGATCCCTGTAGCACTACCAAACTCTATCAATACGCATTTGAAACTTTTTGACCAGCATGACTAAATTATTTCTGAAAAGAAAAATTACCTTGCGAGGTTTTTATGAAAAACATTTAAGCTAAACAAAACATATTCAATGTTTGGGATATAAACATAATCAACGGGGTCTGGATTCGAACCCTGGACTTATTATATTATTATAATCTTGCACTAACCTAATGAGCTACTTGGTCAGCGGAAGTGAGCTACAGTTATGTCCTAGACTAAATGAAGGGAAAGTCCCTGTATACAGGAAAAATACAAAATGTAGTAGCGCAGGGATCTTTAAGCCAGTGCCATGGGATGGCACGAAATAATTACCTGATTAACAGGAACATGTTATCTTCAGGCGTGTAACAGTATCAATTGTTTGACAGATTTATATGTAATGTAAAATCTTTTATTGCGTCATTGAAGTGTTATGCTCAGACACTGCTCGAAAATATGACAAAAGAAAAGCCGTGTCAATAATATTATTGACAGGAGCACTTATCGTTTGATATCGGGAAGAAACATGAAATGTGGGTCATCGCAGACGATTCCTGAATGAGACGACGGAATCAACAGATTAGCCAACATGGTATATCCTACGGTCACTAGAGATGTGGTAGAGATGATGGTTAAGGGAAATTTAATTAATATTTTAACCAAGTTTCTATATACGATTCGGAACAATGACAGTGGGATAAGCAGTCGAGATAGAGCTCTTTTCTGTAAATAAGAGACATACGGGATGGAAAGAACTAAGTAGGATATATTATGGTATGAATCTTGACCGAAATCCCAGTCGAGGAAAAGCGGCTGGGTAGAACTTGTCAAGTGTCTTTAG